ACCCTCTATAGGAGAAACAGGAGAAATTGGCCAAAACTGCCTCCCCCACTTCTTTCAGCAAAGCAGTCTAGGGACTATGTTCTGACTACAGATAATCTGGACACAACTCATAGTCATTAATGACATTGAAAAGCATTTTGTACAACTAAAAAAGGTATAGTGAGAATATGGCTTTCTTTCTAATATCTTCCATGATGGTATCCTAACTAAATATTAGCACAGCAACATGGAAAGAACTAATAGTACGATCCTTCATCTAGCAGCTCAAAATGAAAGGAAGCAAGCGCAACCACTTATGAATGCACATTAAAAGTTATCATAATATAACTGGGCCTATTAGAAGTACATAGACAAACATTTTCACCATTTTGCTCTTTTTGATACAATAGAACAAAAGTAAATCACATGAAGATGTTGGCCAAAAATTACTATGTATCCTTCTGAAGATATTGACTGTTTCTGAATATATTTAAAAATAAATATTTTGTTCACAACAACAAAATAACAGATGTGTATATAAAGCAAATTTGATGGAATATAAAAAAGGAGGATACTTGGAGAAAACAGTACAGTAGGTTTGTGGTATCTGCTGGAGTTGGTTCCAGAACTCCCTGGATACCAAATTCCCTGGATGGTCAAGTCCCATTAAATACAATAGTGTAATGAAATGGTGTCCCTTATTTAAAATCTCAAAACCAGGGTTTGGTTTTTCAAAAAAATAAATAAATTGTGTGAATGTTTTTGAATTATTCTGTGGATTAAGAACTTGTGGATACGTAGGGGTGACTGTTGATGCATAATAAATCTGTATACGTAATACAGTATTCAATAAATAGCAAGAAGAACATTATGTCTGTATTCCTTAAGAAATACAGTAGATGATGACAGGAACTAAGATTTCAGCCAGAAAGGATTTTTCTTTCTTTCTTTCCTGCTTTCCCCGTGAGTTCTTAAATTTTAAAGAGTAAAAATAAGTAGAACAGGTCTCCTGCTTTGATCAGGGTTACCACCATATTATTCTCTGGAGAAAGAACACAGTGGATGTAAAGCTTTCTGTTCTGCAAACCTGACTGAACAGTGAAGTGATATAATGGCTGTCGTTTCCAAGCAATTTAAAGGGGTCTATTCTTGACAATAGCAAGATACTAAAAGCATGTTGCTATTATGGTTACCTCTGTCTTAAATGGCTGGGAAAAGCATTCATAAAAGTTTTGCAATGTGCTTTTCAACTCAAAAAAGAAAGGCACAAATTTCAATTAGATTGAAGAGATGTCAGAGAAGTCAATTGTTTCCCCCCTTTCTCTCCACACTTTTTGCACTTTGCTTGTTCGTCTAATGACAATTAAACTTTCCAGGAGTGTATTTAATCAGATGTTCTTTCCACCAGTAACTAATTCATTTTCTTATACTATGTCTGAAGATTAGTTTGGGTTGCTGAGATGAACAATGCTCCCTGAGAAAAATCAAGCAATTATCATGTGAATTAAAATAGCAGTGAATGAGAACAGTCTGCTGCAAGAGGAGCATATAAGAATACTAAAAATGCCATTTCTGCAAATCAAGGTTGGGCAATGTGTGGCCACTCAGGACGTGTGTGCCTTCTCTCTTCTTTTGCAGCCTCTGCCAATTTTTCTTTCCTCATTCCAAAGGCAATCTTCCTTCCCCCCCCCCCAAAAAAAAAACCACAGGCTCCTCTACACACCTGTCTCCTGTACTTGTCACACTGTACTGGATATGCACTTTCAGTTTCATTTTTGGGGAGCAGTGGAGCCCATAGCTGAGCCCAGGGTGGAAAACTAGCTTCCTGATCATCTAAAGCAGGGATCGACAAACTTTTTGAGCTGGGGACCAGTTTGGGGTTCCTCGGAACATCGGAGGGCCAGAGTATTTTTTTAAAAAACAAAAAAACAATGCACCAGGGCCCAGTGCATTTTTTAAAATTTATTTTTTACTTCAGCCCTCCGATGTTCCGAAGAACCCCGAAGTTTGCCCAGCGCAGCCGTAGGGATCCCCCAGGAGGGCTCTGGCGAACACACCAGGCCTCAGAGAGGCCCTACGCAGCCACTGGAGCCCTCAGAGAGGCCCTGCACGGTCATAGGGGACCCCCAGGAGGGCTCTGGCAAGTGCACTGAGCCTCAGAGAGGCCCGGCATGGTCGTGGGGGACCCCCTCCAGGCACCCCAGGCGGCGGCAGGACCGGTCAGGGGCCAGTCGGAAGGCCTCAGCAGGCCAGGTTCGGCCCGCTGGCCATAGTTTGCCGACCCCTGATCTAAAGCTGGCCCACTCCCACCTGTTGTACATAATAGTCTATTTGGCCTATGCTTCTTGGTCTATCTGAGGAGTGGGGAAAGTATGGCCCATTTGCCATGTGTGGCCCCCAGTTCCAGTTGTTGTTATTTACTAGTAGTTGCCCTGAATTCCCCCTAGATATTTTGTGGGGAGGGGGCAAATCTGCAACATTTTGAATCCTGCCTATTAGTTATCTTAACAGGAAGGGAACAGGAAGTTGACTTGCTGAAAAAAGGCCCCAAGAGGGTCAACAATGTGATAAAATTGTTCTGTATTCCCCCCAGGAGGGCATTTGGAGGCAAGAAACATAGATTTGCATTACATTTTAACGTGGATATCTTTAAGCAACAGGGTGACATATCCAGGGAGACTGGTTTTCTGTTCATGCCTTCAAGATAATGTCACATCTACACAATTCACCAGGTCTGCTACACTATTAGTCAAATGGGTGTCACTTACCTCCTCCATCAGGTTCCAGTAGATGCCATTTTGAATTATACCAAAAGACAGCGTCATGGTGGCTAATGTTCAGCTTACATTTAAGGAAAGCACAGTTACCTTCCTTTACTATGATATCCTGAGGTTCTGCTGATCTTGTCAAAACTTGTAAGATGGGCAGCCGTGATGTGTTGAGAGGCAGGGGTCTTGACCCAGACACATGTGTCAAGTTGGGAGCCACATTTTCTAGTGCAAAAACACTAGTATTTAGAAAGAGAGTCAACAGGCAGCAACTGAGCTTCATGGAAGTTTCTAATGCAGTCTTCCTCTCACTGATTTTTACAGCTGAGATAAGTTGTCAGAACAGTCTGTGCTTTGCAGATCACCATGAAAGATCTTGACTGATGATTTTTTAAAAAACAAATCAATGGAAAATCCAACTGAAATAAAAAGATAAATATTATTAAAAATTATGATTTTTAAAGTTACATACTCAAGAGACTCGACTGAAATTATGAGACATGCCAGCCATCTGGATCTGAAATTAACAAAGGAAACAGCTCCTAGCATACTCACAAGTGAATATTCACAAGTCAGTCTATGCATTAGCAACGGGACTGTGGTCATCTAATGTTTCTTTTCTGCTTGTGTTGTATAACAGGTAAGACAAGCTGGTGGAACCCACTAGCATCACATCCCAATGTCTCTTCTGCAAATGGGACTGAAAACCAACAGAAGGTCCTACTGAAACGTTTCTTCTCCAATCCTCAATGACACTTTTCACACTGTTACAGGGGGCAAAGGGCTCTTGCGGCATCTTTAAGCCTAACTAGGTGAAAGGAATTAGTAGCATATACTTTTAAATACTGGGTCTATTTTATCAGATGCCAGTAGGTCCAGTTTACAAAAGTTTATGCTAAAGGTTGAGCCTCCATTATCCTGAATTGGAGAAAAAAATCCAAAAACCAAAACTTTTTTCATGGGTGCCTGAGATACTAACACTTTTGCTTTCTGATGGTTCAGTTTACAGAAACTTTATTTTATGTACAATATTAAAAATATGGTATAAAATTACCTTTAGGCTATGTGTATAAGGTGTATATGAAATTTAAATGAATTCTGTGTTTAGACTTGAATCCCATCTTCAAGATGCCTCATTATGTATGTAGATGCAAATACAGGTATTCCAAAATCCAATAAGGAATACTCAACCTGTAGGAACTTATTTTGTCTAGGCTGCACCTGCACTGCAGAAATATCCAGTCTGACACCACTTTAACTGCCATGGTTCAGTGCTATGGAATTCTGGGAATTGTAGTTCCGTAGGACAATTAGTCTCCAAATGTAAGAGGGCTCTGGTGCCACAACAAACTACAAATCCCAGGATTCCACAGCACAGAGCCAACACAATTCAAACTGAATTATTTTTGCAATGTGGATGCAGCCCTAGTTAAGTCTTAACAGTGCTACAAGATCCTTTTGTATAGTGATGCAGACTACCATGGCTATGCCTTTTAATACTGTTACACAAGGTCCTCCATCCCATGCTGGTAGCTGCAGGAGGTTGGAGAACTAGCCAAAAAATTCCCCTCCCTCCTTCCATGGCAGTGTCCCATAAGGAGAGTTCTACTAATACACATGATGAATCTAAGCTCACAGAAACTCAGTATCTAAGACAAAATGGAGCTCAAATCACATCCATTAACCCTCCCTTTTCTGCCACATGTGAACAAACCTATGAATTGGTGTCTAGGCTTTGTTGTTGTTGTTGTGTCTTCAGGTCATTTCTGACTTATGGTGACCCTATCATGGATTTTCTGGGAAAGACTTGTTCAGGGGAGGTTTGCTATTGACTTTCCCTGAGGCTGAGAGTATGCGACTTGCTCACGATCACCCAGTGGGTTTCATGGCCCAGCAGGGAATTGAACCCTGTTCTCTTTAGAGTCATAATCCAACACTCAAACCACTATGGCACACTGGCTCTCATTGTACTCCCTTTTTTTTTTTTACCAAGTTACAAGATATGCCAGGGCAATTAAAGAAATATAATGTTGTGGGGTAGTAAGAATAATGCATTGCTGAGGAAACATTACAAAGGAGTTATCTCAAGGGGAAGAAGCAAACTTAAAATATAATGT